AAGCCATACCTAACCAAATACTCCAAATGGCCTCAATTGGTCCTAATTATAATTTGTCCAACCATCTTAGAATTTTTTAGAATATTCATAATGGATGGTTCTACCAAAATAACTACTCTTCTAAAATGTTCTAAGTTCCACCTAAATAATCATCCTTAGTTCTTTTAGGATGTTCCATGGTGGATCCCACATGAATCATCAACATGATTCTAATTCTAAAAACTTTTGAAAACTTTCCAAAAATGACTCCAATTACCTATTTCTATGGATTAATAATACAATTATCTTATGCATGTTCCATTATATGTATAGTCTCTATTGTAGTTGAAAAAACTTGTTTTTTGATATGTTGTCTTCTTTGGCAACCATGCTCCTCATTTTGTGATTGTATTGCTTCTTAAGACATTGTTGAATAATGTGCTTGGATTTTCCACAATATAGGCATAAAACTTCTTGACAATGACAGGATTTGTTTTACTTAGTAAGAAGTTTATAATGTATCATGTCAATTTGTATAGGCTTTGGCTTTGGCAAGTAAGCTTCCAAAAACTTAGAAGATATTGTTATAGCTTGACTTATACTTCTATATAACTTGTCCTTACAGATCTAGCTTATGTAAATCCATCAGAGTATTAGAAAAGATGCAATCTTAAATAGAGTTTAACTTGTTTTGCAAAAATCTTCAAAATTTTGATCTTTTTCCATCAAACTTCTCGGGCATACTAATCCTTGCCTCTTATGCTTGTGAGAAGGAGAATTTCTGAATTTATTTATAAGATTGTTTTATTTGGTTCTTTCAATTACACAACTTCTTAACATAGACTTTGGACTTTTTCTATATGTATGGGAATAGTACCTCTATGATTCACATTAAAAATACATGAGATTTCTACTCTTAGGGTGTTGACAAGCATATGAAGATCTACAATAGTTACAAATTTATTTTCACTTCTGTTGAGAGTAGCATCCATAATCTTTCTTTCTATAGACAACTCAAGCAAATTCAAAAAGTTAAATTAGAAGAGAGTAATCTGCAACCTTCAAAACACAACAATAGAAGTGGAATAATTCACTTAGTTTGTTGGTTATAATATCTATTAATATTATAATGATATTAATATCTTAAATAATATAAGAATAATATTAGGTACTAATATTATTAGAATATTATGATATTAGATAGATATTAATATCTAATATTATTAATACTAAATAGATATTAATATCTAATATTATTAATACTAAATAGATATAAATATCTAATAATATTATAATAATAATAGTATTAGATACTAATATTATTATAATAATAATAGTATTAGATACTACTATTATTATAATATTATGATACTAATATTATAATAAAATATCCACTAATATTATTATTATAATTACAATTGATATCCAATTTTAATTTGATGTATTGAAATACAAAATAATATGATAAAATTTAAATAATATCTTTATAAATAGCTATATATTTTAATATTCTACTATTATTGCTACATCTATGCCTTGACTACCACCAAAACTCTATACATATTATTGATTGATGTGCAAGCAATATCAATGTACTTTAGCAATTTCTTTATATTTTAAGTGTAGCTTGTGGTTTATCCTACTAGTTACTAATTAAAAAATTATAAGAAAAATGTAAAATTTACATTATTATTATTATTATTATTATTATTATATCTTTAATATTTTTTGTTAGGTTTTTATTTATGAGTTTATTTTTATTTTATTTTTTAGTAATTATACAAAGCAATGACAATCTTACAAGAAACAACAATGACTACCATTTTTTAAAATATAGAAATAAAAAAATAAAAATAAAATCTTATTTGTATTTAAGTTAAAACTTAAATATTGTTAAATTCCTTAACAACAATTTAAATGAGTTGTGCAAATGAACACACTTGGTAGAATTTTTTTCTGAAATCTCATAACCAACATCAAATCAAAAAATATTGTATACAATCTGACTTCAATCAAATTTAGGATAATTACAACTCTTGCAACTTCATATAGACCAAATAACCAGATCAAATAACATTCATGCATAACAAAATTATTTCCAAATTCAATCTAAAACATATTGACATGTTTTATTCTAATCTTGTGTGAATGTGCATATATTGCATTCTACTTACACAAATAATATTACAATTACTTACTCTAAGATTTTAATTCAAAATATTTAAAAAAATATGTTCTTTTTTAATAAGATATTAAAATATTTTTTTATTGAAATTTTAATCTTTCTTTTATCTTTGCATACAAAAACTTTGTGAATTTTGATTTACTATAAATTACAATACTTTATACAATTTTTTTGTTACAATTATTAATTACAGATACTTAAAAAAACTATTAATAATGATATCTTGTAAATAATATTTTTATTTTATAATATTGTAAATAAAATATTGTAGCATTTTATAATAAAATGGAAAAATAATTATGGATATATATATATATGTATATATATAACTAAAGTGCATTTAAAAATTTATAAATGCATTTTTTAAAACATTTTTTAATATTTCACTCTAAATTTGTAACAATAAATAATGTCTTTAACTAAACATTCTTAAATCAGAAGGGAGTATTAAAAATATCTTTATTATTACTTGTTATAATTAATTTTCTATTAGCAGTTTAAATCCCAAGTTGTGTTAAACTCTGAATCTATTCAAATATTAAAACCCATACCATTTAAAACATCCCTGATAACAATTTAATATGTGGATGATGTAACATTTATGGAATTAAATATATTTTATGAATCTGGACTACACGCTAAACTTTAGAACTATCAAAGCTTCTGAACTACACGCTAAACTTTAGAACTAAAGCTTCAGAATATTTTGATGTAACATTTATGGAATTAAATATATCTGGGAAATGAATTTCGTCCAAAATTTACCTTCTAAAATTAGATACCAATAAAATTCTTGCCAGCCTCTGAACTACAGGCTAAACTTTAGAACTATGCTGTAATTGAATCTGGTTCATACTGTTCAAGAATGGTAGAGTGTTGGCAATGCATTCAAAAGCAGAACAAAACAAACAAAAGAAATATATAAGCACCCAAAGAAAAAGCTCTTCATCAAGAGCAGAAATGTAACAGCATTTAGACGTGTAACATTCACAACTGAACAAAGAATGGTTCTCAAATTGCATTGAAATACACGCCCCCCCTTCTTCTTCTCTCATACAAATTTGCAGCATTTTGTTGTACTGTTATGTCCTATCATCACTGACAATCGGGTATTATTAACCACTTTATTAAGTTTTGATAGTGAAACAATTAAATCATAATAAAAAAAATATTCAAAAAAGAAAAAGAAAAGAACAGCACTTACTATTGACCACGGTTGTCGGTCGGTACACCCACCACGGGGTTGATGAGGATCTTCACTGAAACTTTCTGCTCCTTCTCCGCAGAACTCTTCTTATTGCCACTCGTCGTCTCTTTCCACATATGTCTAGATTGTGGGTCCGCGCCGTCAGTGAACCCTAATACTGGAATCGCAACGTATTGCATGGAGGGAGGGGAATTCACGAAGGAGATGAACAAGTGGCGAATGTGGGCCAATTCAGGTGAGATTGAGGACGATGCTGATCAGAAGTGGGAACACACGAGGCTTCGATCGATCGATACAGGGCGAATGAGAGAGAGACCCAGTTCGAAAGGAATGGGACCCAGTTTATCGAAGGGTCACCGAATTATAATAATAATATAGAAAAATGAGGAATATTCTATTTTGGAGTGAGAGACTCCCTACGTTAATCGAGATTCTCGCGGTTCCCTCTCTCTGCCTGCTTTCTGACCTCACCCCGCCACTTGGGATGAGTCCCCTGCGACGACGAAGATTTCACATCTAGATTCTCAAGTTCATGTTTGGAAGTTTCCTCGGCCTTCGGAGATTCCGAGGTTGCACCAATTTGAATTGGCACCACTAATTTTGTGACATCTGTGTGTGGGTCCTTTGATTTCAGCACTGATTGTAACAAATTAGTTAATTTTAGAAAAAATTACGGCCATGTAATCATTTAGTGTAGATTATTTTCACAATTTTATTTTATTTTTCTAAACGTAGTCCTGTTTAAAGATATCGTAATTCATGTAAAAGCAATGCATTGAAATAACATTTGTGGGATACTTCACAGAATCTATGTATGCAGTTTTTTTTTATAAAAATTAATTAATAATTAAATAGTAATGAAAGTTACAGATACATGAGGTTTTTAAAGTTCTATCAAATGCACTGAGATTTTATTATTATTATTATTATTATTTTCTCTACTTTTATTTCAAAAACTTTTTGGAAATCATCGCCTTAAAACCGATGTACTCAAGGCACCACAAAAACTTTTTGAAAGGAGGAATATAAAAAGCCATCGAGGAGCATCATCCATTCACACATCCGCTCATCCATCCACAACACAACAGAATGCAGTCATCGACAGATACGACACAGACGATTGGCAATGGAAAACTGCCGACATGTATGACTTACTAGTAGAGTGGAAGTAGTAGTTTCCGCCTTCTAGATAGCACGTGGATCCCGCCCTTGTACGATAGAAAATGCCGGCCCGTGACCGTACTGCTTGTCCACGTCACCCCTCCCACGTGCTGATCAAGACAGCCCAGCCAACAAAACGAGCGGGGAGGGAGAAAAGGTCTACCTTCCTGATGGCTCTGAGACCTCACCCACGGTTACTGGCCCGCGGGGATACGATCACCAATCAGTCGCCATCTATGATTTCATTCGTCCAAAGTGCTCGTGTCAAGGTTCATCCACTCTCCATCCATGGAGCCATCACCATCAAAAGATCGTTCCTTTCGATGGTGATCCGCAGAGTACGATCAGGTGCGCGTCCGTCCGTCCGTCGGTCCGGGGGGAGGGAGCGGGTATAGGTTACCTGTTGACACGATTGGTTCCGTGGCTGTCGTCCAGTCAGAAGTTTCTTCAGCTGGCGGTGCGTCATTGTTTTCTCTTCGTATGTTTTTTTATTTCCAGGTTTATTGTTGGTGTTTTCGGGAGGTTGTTGTTGTTGTTCTCGGAGCGTTCTCATTGTGAGAAGCTTCTGGATACGAAGACGAAGCTTCAGGAGATTCGCATTCTTTGCGCTGTGCAGTCGAGCCGTTGCATGCGAGGATTGACCAAGATTTGATGGTTCGAAAGCAGAGTGTAGTGTAGTGTACTCCTCGCCAACTGGATTTTCGCATTCGTGTACCTTTCTGCTTTGGCGTCGGCGAATTCCGATGGGTGGCTGGCGTCGAAGGTGATTCTTGCGTTTGTGTGGTGCATTAATGTGGTTGCGCAGAGGGTAGTGTTCACGTCGACGATACGAATGGATTTTGGAGGTTTACTCGGGGTTCCTGGCTTTCGTAAGCCGTTGCTTTGTTATCCTGTGTATGCGGGCACGATCACTGCGGGCGTGTTTCTCCTTGTGTGTGGTCACCCTCTCGTCATGCTCCAGGGTATTGAGGACAGAGCGTGGATGAAGTTGTTCAGTACAAGTAGGACGTCTCTGCGATTGTCGGAGCTGTCGCACTTTGAAGTCTGTTTGTTTGTTTGTTTGTTTGTTTTTGTTTTTACCTTTTTTAGGGTCTTGATTTTTGATTGAGACTTAAGTTGCACAACCAGGTTGATTGTGAGGCGTCTGTACCTTATCGATTTTAATGATAGCCTTCTTAGATACGTTTCTCTGAAAGCGCTCAAGTGAATTAAATGGTCAATGTTCACTCTCCATCTGCTTCTAAACCGAATCTTCGTTGCCCTAGCGCTTAAGGCTCCTTGATTCGTAGTGATATCAGTCTCATTGTCTCCTTTCAAACTGCGTCGGAAAGTTGATACTTGTCCTTCGAAGTCTTGTTATCTGTTTGAAAGGCTTTGTGTTGGCGTCTTTTTGCTGCGCTTATTTCTCTAGACATTTGCTAGCCCCTGCCTTATATTTCCGCGCACTTTGGGCTTGAGATTGATTCGCATTACCTGAAAATAAATAAATAAATAAATATTGAAGTTTTAAATAACTTCTCCATACCTAGTGTGGTCAATGAATAGCCGTTTCATGCTGATGGCTCGTTGATGCCAACACCCAAACGCTTCTTCAATCTTTTGTAAAGACACTACCATGTTGCACGTTCGGTATTCAAATCCTCGCGATATGTGTTCTTTGATGCCATGAATGAGTGCTGTTACGTCCATTTAACACTTGTTTGTCTTCCTTTAGTCAAGCGGTTCTAAAGTAACTTACAAGAGTCAGTTTAGGTTCATCATCTACATTTAGGAATCTCCCGTATGTGTTATTGCAAGTGTGTTTTCATTCTACTGCAACTGTCTAAAATTTGTTGATTTTAGGGTAGTCAACCAATTATTGTCCACGTGGCATGTGCGCTGGATTCTGTATTCCTCTAATTTTTATTATTTTTACTATTAGCCTTTTAACTTTTAGTTTGTTTTTTTTGATGATTTTTCTCTTGGTTCTACTTTTGCAGGGGTGCGCTGTTTGCAGATTGATGATGAGGGTCTTCGGCTTTTTCCTTCATTGGTTAGCTTAAAGTACAACAAATGGTCGTAACCAGTTCTAGAAAAGGGAAGGAAATTTCAACAGTGGCGTCCGAAGACAATGCGTATTTTGTATACGGACACTTTGCTGCAGGTGGTTTGGGAGAGGCCAGGTCGAAGACGATGACGAATAGGCTACTGTGTAGAAAGAACGGATCAAGTTTCAACTTGTGTACCTTCTGGAAACTCATTATTCTTCTAGGTTTTTTTGTTATTCTTTTTCCCGGAGCTACAGCGAATGCCAAAGGTGTTCGACGAAATTTGGAAGCTTTTTTCTGTAGAGTAGATCAAGATGGAAATGGCGAAATCGAGCAAGGTGAAGCTTCAAAGGTTGCCAATTTCTCCCTTTTCTGTGAGATGTGGTGAGCCCATGGGCTTTGCAAATATGTTATTGTCCAGCACTTGGCATTGTAGGGGCAGTCCTCACTGGGGCTCTGTTTTCTGGTCTAACTGTCTGAACTTGAGTGCAGTTTCTGCGGAAGCTGGATGCCCAAATGGCAGATGATGGTGAAATGGAGACAAAAGAGGGTATGAGTGAGTTGATGGCATCATCTCAGTTTGACTTTACGTTCAGCTATGGCGGCAATACTATATCCGCAGAAGAAATGCTGGTGAGAGCTTCTTATCCTTGTCCTGATCATATTTGTTTGTTGGTATCCTTTGAAATAACTTTAGTCTTCTAGGTTATTTACTTTCTATTCATTGCTGAGGGATGAGGATGCTTGAAAAGTAAAAAAGTGATGGCAAAGCTAGTAATACTGCACAAACACTGAACAAGAATGTTATAATGATAATTACTAGGATTTGCATGAGAATCTTTTAGCACCAATGCGGAAGTTTTTAAGTTGCCAATGTTTTATTCTTCTCCTCGATCTTGAAACTGTGCTACACAAGGTTCACTTGCAGCTTGTATTTGTTTCTGCTTTACAGATATAGTCAATGAACACACTGCTACTTATATTAATTTCCCCTTTGGCTCAGGATCACCTATCAAACATGATGACTGCAAATCATGTAGTAGATTGGGTCACTCACGGACTAGAATTGCCACAGTATGCGGAAGCATTTCGTCAGAATGCTATCAATGGAATGGATTTTCCAGCTCTTATCGAGGATGATGGCGTGGCTTTGCTCGAGGACCTTGGCATCAAGAGTACTCTACATCGTACCAAAATCACACATGCTTTGGTGAGACAAATTTTCGGAATTGGCACAGTTCCAGGTCCAGTTCGTTCATTACAATGCAATCCATCCAGTTATGGCGGGATAGAACTCTCATGGGAAGCTCCTACGAATCGCGGCGTGCCTCCCTTGCATAAGCATTTAATTGAGCGTTGGTCAAAGACCTTTTCTACCTGGACGAGTGTTAATGATACAAGGGAAGTTGTTTTTCTGGATAGAAATGCTATTAGAACCGGAAAAGATTACACGTACAGAGTGCAAAGTTGGGGCAATCACGGTCCTTCTAACTGGGTCACCGTAGATGGTTGTAGAGCAGATTTTACTTCTCTCTCACCTTCTAAACTGGACATTGAGGATAATCTTCCCTTGCAGATGTTTGAACAGGTGAATGCAAAGTTAGACTCAGAATTGTTGATGCCCATAAGATCCAAGTCCTCTCAGGAAGAAGAAAGTAGTCTGCGTCCTGTTATAAATTATGTGATATTAATGCTTTTAGGGTTTATCTCAAGACATGCATTCTTCTTTGACGTAACTTCAGCCGCTTGGATTCTCTTGAAGAATCATCTATGGCAAGCGGTGACAGAAGGGGAGCATAGCCCTTACCTTTTTGTTAGTACAGCGGCACGTTCTATAAAAATGGCTTTTGATAGTTGGTCTTATATGCGTCATAAAGTGTGGATGCTTTCTAGGTTAGGAGTGGATACATCCTTGGACTCGACGAGGGGTGTGTCGACTAGCTCCTTTGAAGCTGAAAGAGAGGTGAATGGGGCATATTCTGAGGCTGAAGCTATCCGAAGTAATAGTTCAGATAACCTTCACGAGGCATCTGATTTGGGACTTCAGACGAGTTCGAAGTATCCAAATGGCATTTCTCCTAACAATAGTGAGAGGGAAACAGAGTTGCAGTATTCAACACAAAACGCAGCATCGTTCTCTGTAGCATCTCCGCCGCAGGACGCAGAGCTTCCTAATCCTTCTAGGAGGAGCAAAAACAGGTAAGTTGGCATTTCTCAAGGAATATGCTAGCAAGTTTTAACGGCACTCACTTTGTACATTGATCCCTTCTATGGTTTGATTCTACCTTTAATCGTTTAATTGTTATCAGCTGTTTTGGTGTTGTCATGGAAAATGCTGTGGAGGATTTTAGGGGGATTACTGTATGTAATCCGATTTCTGCTTCAAAAGATCATCGAAATCTAACTGGATGTTTTGTTGAAAATGCAGGTGCAGTCATGAATGCTGTAAGGTTCGGTTTGATCGCTGGCGTTCATTACAAGACTGGTGGATGAAGTTTAACAAGCATTATTGTGGGCAATGCCAGAGTGTGTACTGCGTGAAACACACCCGAATTTCGCCTCATGGACCGCGTGGCCAATGTGGATTAGAGAGTCATTGTTACTGCTATAGTTGCTTTGCTTCATTACCTAAAGATGTTCAACGCAGGCTAGAAGAGCATAACAAGTTGCGTGCTGGCCCTACTGTAACAAGTAATTTGTCTTCGTTAGCATCTTCCTCCAAACCGAGATCAGACTGTTCATTCAATGGCTCCGCAGCTGGAGATGGGCTCCCTCCCCCCTTGAGCGACACGATGGGAGACTACCTCGATGGTAATGGCCTACTCGACTTTAGGGATATGGGCGTATCAAAAGCGGCATTCGACTCAGGATTGCCTGATGATTCAAGTGAGCAAGGAAATTCAAAGCGTAAACATAGGAAACAAAGAAGCTTTGCATGAGCACATGCGCTGCTTGGGAACATGCTCCGTGCATTTCGTTGGATGCTTTGAATATGCTGGTATGGAAGATGGTTAGAAGTTTTCTGTTGGCTATCTTAAAGCTGTTTCACAAGTTGTTCCTTGTTCCTTTCATTCGTTGTTTTCCTGCTTCGTTTGTTTCATCAAGAGCACCTCCTCTTTTTTTCTTTTTCCTTATTTATTTATTTATTTATTTATTTTTGCGCAATGATAACTGAGAATCACAATCTACAGTAGTAATTATGAGTAGCAGAGGTTGGTTTGTTTTGGTTTTAGTTCTCAGTTACTGACCAACCGTGGATTTGTTTTGCAGATCATGGAAGCAAGCCACATAATTCACCTGTGAGTCTTCTTCGACAAACACAGGTGACTCTTGTACCTTAAGAACATTTTTTACAAGCACAGTACTTCTTTTGACAATCAAGTGGTTAGAAATTAGATTACCGTAGTCGGATGCAAGGTTCGACTGGGAATTTTTTCATGAAAAACTTAGATTATTTCAAAAACATTCAGAGAGACAATCTCCAAAAACTCTGAAAATTTTGGCTCTTTCGTCCTTCGTACATTGTCGATCTAGTGAACAATATGGAGGAGGAATTTTACGTTTATCTCATTTGAAACTTAATGCTACTATTTTTTTAGGTCAAATTTTAGAGTTAACATTTATGGTGGTTAGTGTATGGGAAGAGAAGCGTATCAAAATGTATTGACTGAAGCTTGTGGAGTGAAAGGCATTGATAGATAAATCTGTGTTGGTTTTATTCATTCCTTTCTTTTTATTTCTTTCCATTTTGTCATTTTTTATGAAATGCATTGCATTCTGCAATTTATTTTATGAATTCTTACAGGATTGTTGGAACCAATTTTCAATGAGTATGTTCATTAGTTTTATTTTAAAAAAAAAAAACCACGATTGTGGTGTTATAAGCATCAACATGCCAATTTTTATGTCCATAACCATTTAAATTTCTGGGTCACCAAGTACTTCACAGAATCATACCTCAAATTTTGCAGTAAATTCAGCAATCACAACTTGGAGATGATTTGTTGTATGTGATGGCAGAAAATCTAGTCTTGTAACTTGTAATTGTTTGTCAAGCTCATTTTTATACTTTATCTTGAAAAATCTTGTATGTATGTATACACATTTACGTAGATATATATTAAAAACATTAACATGTGTCGTATCCTACTGTAATTTCCAAAATTTCATGATTGATTTTAAATCATGAATAGTCACTCCAATAAAATTCTAGATTGAACATGTTTTTACAGGAAGAAATGAAATGAGAAGAAATGCATATTTTTCTAAACACAACTAACACCTTGATCTCTTTGAATACTGAAGTCTGTTTTTTTCTTTTTTGTTTTATTTATTTACATCACTTATTCTTTTCTCATGTAAAAGCGAACTTAAGAGCTGTAGTCACTAAAACTTTCTGTTGGTTTTTGTTGTTTTATGTGAATATAAACAATCAAGTTGTTTTTTTGTTTGGGATCTTATCATCTCTTTTCATACTAATTTTTACACCAAATGTGTGTAAGAAATATAACAAAATATATATATATATATATACATAGACATAGGATGAAATTATTTAACAAGGGTGCTATGAATTCTATTCATTTTTCTTGTTTGTTTGTCATAGTATTTGCATATTAATTTAAAAAAAATACAATTTAGTATATATTTTATCAAAAATACCCCTTTTAGAAATAAAAACTTTGGTTGGTCATTGTTGTAGCTAGTAATAATTATGAAACCATTAAACACCACTTTTAGTGTTATATATGTATATATATATATATATATATATATCTTAATTAAATGTGTATGTTGTAAACCGCAAGTTCCCAATCAAATAATATTCTATACTTTCTTTTAATTTGAATTTATTTTATTTCTATTTTCTTTCAAATGGCATGCAATTTTTGGTGCATTTATAACACAAGGTTATCAACCTTTTTTCTTGTAGTTTTATAAATGGTACAAAATCACAACGGACTAATTGAAAAGGAAGAAACGAGAAGAGAAACTCAGCACATTCCAATGTTAACTCAAGGCTATAAAAGATAGAACTACACATTTATTTAGTGATTATTATGCCTGATCCGCGTTCACACCGTAGTGGGTCAGCATGGTTCCCTTCCTGGGGCGAGTCGGGGCAAATGCTTTGTGAGAATTAGGGTTTGGTGTTGGAGGGGTTGGTTGCAAGGGATCGATGCAATGGCCCCACTCACCGCAGTGTTGGATCGCACAGCAGCGGCAGGGGAGGATTGATTCCACACTTGTTCGACTCTCGTTCAGCATCGTTTTCTGAAGTGGGTTTGTTGTGGCTGATGAGGAGTACACGTGAGTGCTTTGGAGTAGAGGTTGTCTTCTCGCATGGTGTCTGTGAGCAGATTTCGTCATCGGGGGTTGGAGGACGAGCTGATATGAAGAGCTGATTGAGTTTTGAGTTGTCCTGAATCCTTGGTTGGATTTTTTTACGAGTTGGGTTCGGAAGGGCGAGGTGCGGGGAGGACTGAGATTTCGTTAAACATGAAGAAGACAAGTAACGAGGAGGTGGAATACAAGCAGAAGTCCGGCACCGCTTGGAGCCATTCGTACCTGAATCAGAAGCCATGGCACCCGCTCTCGTATCCCAATCAACGTCGCAAGTGGATTGCGGAGCAGCAGAACGCTCAGAAGGAAAGGAAGGCCGAGGAGGTGGCTCACGAGGTACCGGATCTGCATCTCATAGCTGGTTTGATGGTTCACTGGGGTTGAAGATGCTGAGAGATTTCCTGGGGTTATCCTTGGCAAGGTTGTTTTTCCTTTGAAATTAAAAAAAAAGAAAAGAAGATAATTCTTGCTCTTGAGATGTTCATTCCTGACATTTCCCAATTTGAGGCTTCTAGTATCAGCTTGCATTGTTGCGATTTTGACAGAAGAAGCGAGGGCCTAATGCTTGTGAGTGTGTATGGGTTTGGGGGGTTGTTAAGTTCGCACAGCAGCAGGAATTTTTCCGCCAAACTTCAGTGATGAGTAAAAAGGAGAAAGAGAAGGTCAGATTTATGTACTCTTTCCTTTTGTTTGGATTTGTTACTGATTGTGCGCATTATGTTCCTACGCTAGTAGTCAATCGATACGATTCGTGTTCTTCGTGGTCTCACCAGTTTTGATATGATGCAGGTAGAGGCTTTGCAGGCAGTGGGGTTTATGTACATGCGACCACCTGGTTATAATGCTGAAAGTGCCCGAGCTGCTGAAATTGCCGATGAAAGGAGGAAACTTGGTTTGGAGGCTCCTCCCAGCTCTTCTCAAGCTGCGCCGGCAGATGTTATTCCTCAGGGGTACTTCAATTGATCTTAACAGCTCTTTCGATGAAGTTTTTCGTAAGGAGTTCGCGTGTTAGTATATTCCTTTAAAATTATTACCCTAATTGTCATTTGTTTTCGTAAATCAAATCACACAAAGAAGACATTCGCTAATAAGCAAAAACATCTACAGGGAAGCAGGTGGAGCGGAGGCAGAAGTTAAGAAAAAACCTCGAGTCAAAGATGTCTTCGGACGTAATGTGGCCACGGAAGCTGAATTTGCGGTTTTGAAAGATGCTCCCAAGTGAGTACTTTCTACCTTACATTTGTTATTTGCTGTTCAGAAATATTTAATGTCAAAAACAATAAGGTTGAATCCTCCTATGTATTCGCTGGTCTCAATGTTATGTCCATTCAGGGAACATTCTTTTACAAAGAGGTTTCTTAGTTTAAATTGCAACTATATTCTTGGGAGGTGAACTTGTGCTAGACATTTTGCCAAGTTGGTCCCGTCGTCATCTCTTTTGTCATCTTTGCAGACTCGACACAGGTGTTGTTGGGAGAGTGAAGCCTTTTGCAATTGAGATTCGAAACGTGAAGTGCGCCAAATGTGGGGGTTTTGGTCATCAATCCGGAGATCGTGAGTGCCCTTTGAAGGATGTGATTACACCAAACGAATTAGAGCGATTAAAGCGCAATGATCCTCTTCAAGCTATTATAGCTCAAGCCACTGGTGATGAGGTACACATGCCTTTTGTAAAGCTTTATCACACTTTATTATGATGCGAAATTTACGCGTTATTTTGGTTGTAGAGGAACTCTATACCCCTGCAGTCCAGTCCAGATAATATAAAAATGCGATTCTTAATATTCATGTGAAACCATCCTTGCTGATTAGGGAGTTAACCTGGTCATTAGTTTGTTGACAAACTCCTTTCATGTGACATCTGCAGCCGTTTAAGTGGGAGCTTAAGAATCAGCCTGGTGCCATGAGTCCGGCACGTGGGGGCTTTAAACCAGACGACCCGAATCAGCAAATTCTTGCTGATGAGGATATCTATGATGAATACGGAGGTGGGTTCCTTTTAGCCTTCGTGTCCATTAACATACACATAACCATCTTTTTTCTTTAGGAGGTCGTCTTTTGTATAAATATAAGTTTGCATGCCAGATTGTCAATGCTTGCCTCTTAGTATCCTGCTTGTTTTGGCTTTCATATGCTCGCTTCCAAGATCCTCAGGGGGTTTCTTTTAACTAGTCTGTAGATTTTGGTTATTGCTATTGACGTGCTGTAGAATATTGTATGTTTCCCAACTTTTATGCACATCTGAATCTTTTTGGGTTCTACTGTAACATCGTGAAGTATCTTGTGCATGGGTCTTCAGGATTTTTGGCTGGAGGTGGTGATGGTGAAGATCTTGACGGTGAGGGGAAGTTGGCCATGCCTGACATCTTGGCTTCCCTTACCAAAGAGCAGCGTAAAGAACTCGCAGCTTTGAGAATAGATGAGAAGAAACGAAAGGAGGATCGAAGAAAGAAGAAAAAGAAGAAAAGGAAGATTCGGAAAGATTCCGATTCTTCTGAAAGTTCTGATGGCAGCGATAAAAAGGAAAAGCAACGCCGTTACAAACATCGGAGTCATAAACCAAAGAAGAAAAAATCCATGAGTGATGTACATAGATCAGAGAGAGGTCATCGTAGTAAACACCGCTACTCAGAAAGCTCGTTAACTGATTCATCCTCGGAATCGGACGGCGTTGCCACTGTTTTAGAACCTGCTAATGCTTCCAGTAGAAAGTACTCAGAAGATAGTGATGATAGTGTTGATAAACGAGTCACTGTCTCTGAGACACATGATAAGCATCATAGAAGGTACAGTAGTTCTCGATCTAAGGAAGAGAAAGTTCATTCAAAGAATAGAAGCCACCGTCGTCAGAAGAAAGCAGCCTTACACGCAGATTTAGATGAAGTACACGAGAGTTTTAAACGGGAGCGAGATAAGGATTACAAGGAACACAGACACGACTTATCTAAACACCGCAGATGAAAATCCTAGTGTTTATACAAGTCCCAAATATTTGTACACTAGACGATGTATTGCGAACACTCTTTTGTAATCATTTTTTTGTAGGTGCGTTGGAACAAACTGTTGAGGTGCAGTTCTGGTACCCAACTAGAAACATGCCGATGAGAACCAAATCAAGTTCTCAAACTTGCACAAGTTTTCATCAACACATCTTAAGTTACCCCTGCGTATGCTCACAGCATCGATGTCCATGACGTTTTTGTTCCACTGACGAACAAGCCATGAAGATCAAATCGTGGATTGGATCTGAACTTTGCATTTTGAATAGCTATGAGACCGAAATGGTGTTTGTGCTAGAAAATCATGTTACAACAAAAGGTATGCAGCAGCAACAACAAAAGTACGAGATACAAATAAAAGCATTGTCTACCATCACTGATGCATGAATTTAGCTTGTCCAATTAACTAGTGTTAAACCTTAAGCTTCATAGATATATCTCAACTTTGGTGACTAGATGCAATATAGTCACCACTACATACATATATTTTCATGTTTTACATTTGATATGCTAATGTATATATTATACAAGGCTGTAGCCAAAGAGTGGTTAGCAATGGAAGCAGCTCAAAGACTCGGAGCTGTTGCTGTGGAGCAGAGAGTAGGTATCATGCGAGAAGGGTAGGAGAGGCAGAGAAGGAACTGGGTACTAGAGGCGTGCCGACGAAGCCGAGACCAAGTCGGAAAAGCGAGCACCAGGTGGGGAGATACGTGGTAGCCACAACAATCGCTCCCCGCTATCGTCAAGTGGTGCCCTCTCCCTCCGCTCACCCTCGTTGGAGTGGACATTCCATCACTCCGGTTTCTTCCAGCTCCCCACCCCCGTATTGTCCCACTCCCCTCTAGATTCCCCGCGCATTCCTTACAAATTGCCCCTGCAGACGTGCGTTTTTCATACTCTGTCTCGTCTCGTACAGTGGTTTTTTGTTCATAAACCCCGAGATTGTAAGAGTCGCCGTCGGTTGCTCCTTGAAGGTGTCTAGGATCGGCTCGCGAAGATGGTGAAGCTTACCTCCGCTCGCCAGGCTCGCCTGTACGGGCCTCTGTCCACGCGAGACATGGTGGAGAATTGGAACTCGTTTCTGTATTTGGTGGGGACCATTCTGCTGGCTGCAGGGATGTTGCTCTTGTTGCCAAGCTTCGAGATGCGCAGCTGGAGCCTTTGGATTGTTCTCGTTGGGTTTGCAGTGATTGTGGTCGTCAATTTGCATGACTTGCATGCACACTTGGCTGGAATCGATTACGATTTTACCCTCCTGTCGATGGATACCCAGTGGTGGATGTTCGAGCTCGCCGTTCCGACTGTCCACGCAATGGGTTCCATTCTGCTGTGCATCGCGACCTTCTTGCTTATCAGGGTGAGTTCGTGGAACCCCTCATTGCTTATCATGTCTACAACATGGTTTCGGTGATGAAATTTCTTGGCGGTTGGCCTTTTTCCCAAGTAGTTACAAGTTTCTTGAGTAGGACGCACATTTTTTCAGGGCTTTAATGCCATTTTTAGTTGGGAAGAATCCTGATTGTGTGCCATTGGTCGCAGGTGAACGCGGGATCGTACGACCAAAGCGAGGTTAATTTTAAGTTGACTCAAGCTTTCCGACTTGTGATCTCAGGCTCTGCTCTGTGGCTCCTTGGATCCATCCACAATGCATTCTAAATATATGAGAAAGCCAACGCCCGAGTCCAGCTCCTGCAGATGGCCACGTCGTTGCCCTGCTTGGTCTCCAGCGAGCTTCTTCTTCTGAGCGGAATTCTTCCACTGCAAATATCGAATTTTGGACATGGTCGCAAATTAATGGTTCGTCAATTCGTTCTCCTTCGCTGTGTCTGAATCAAAACTGTCCATAAACTCACGTGGCGAAACTGATTCTATATATATATATATATATATATATTTTCTTACACGCTTGTCAATGTTGAGTTTCAGGGTGAGTTTGTCACTGAGAGCTGCTTTTGTCCCCAAATCTCGTTTACTGATTCTTGCATGATTTGGGTTGATCCAGAACATTGCAATATGGTTGGCTCTAGTAGCAAGCGTCTTGTTGGTCGTGGCCGCACTCCTGAACGCATTCCGCGTGGTGTTTCTGCAACAAGCCGACAGGGTCGGTGGCCACCTGGAGATACTGCGAGGCGGTGCTAAGGAGCGACTTCGAAGCTTCCGTGCCAACTCCGAGCCCTTGTTGAGCTCCACAAACAAGTCCCAAGCCGACATCGAGTCTCACCAGGCGGAAGTGCAACCCTACCGGGGTCCCGTCGTCCCCTCGGAGCCGCTGCCTCGTTAAGTCCGCCGCCGCGTTGCAGCGCCGTGTGTGCTCTTCTGTTATTATTGTTGTTGTTGTCGTTGTTGTGATTGTTTTGCCAGTTGGAAGCTTGTGATCTGCTCCCTTCTTGGATCTAGACCTACGCATGCATGGCTATGCAGCGACGGTGCGAGGTCTGCGGTGGAAAACACCGCAATCCTGGTGGAACAGCGAGGCCAATCCAGACAGCGGTAGAGCATCTCAACAAGGCTTTTATTTTTCCTGATAGGAGGAGGAGTTTTTCTGATAGGAGGAGGAGTTTATCTGATAGGAGGAGGAGTTTATCTGATAGGAGGAGGAGGAGTTTATCTGATAGGAGGAGGAGTTTATCTGATAGGAGGAGGAGTTTATCTGGGAGGAGGAGGAGTTTATCTGATAGGAGGAGGAGGAGTTTATCTGATAGGAGGAGGAGGAGTTTATCTGATAGGAGGAGGAGGAGTTTATCTGATAGGAGGAGGAGGAGTTTATCTGATAGGAGGAGGAGGAGTTTATCTGATAGGACCAGCTATGTTTCACAATCTGTACCTGGGGCTCTGTTCCTCCACCGACATAGGGCCTGTTGCATGGTGATGTACATACAGTGTATAGATGAATTATCAACACACACACCTTCGTGTGTGTTGCCCTATTTCATGCAGTAAGAGCTTTTCCTTGTATACAACATACATTGTTGAAAACTCTGGAAAATGATCTCTGGTAAAAACAAGTGTGTGTGTGTGTGTGTGTGTATATATATATATATATATATATATATATACGTAAAAAGAATACATCTATCTATGGTAGAATGTGAAGTAGGTTAAACCAATCATCCAAGTTTGTTTGCAAGTAAAAAAAATATTGATTGATTTTTTGATGATTACATGTGCATCTTTGAATTGGGTTTCTGAGGTTTGAATAAGAATTTTGTGAACTGAAAATGTAACATTTTGAATGAAATAAATTAACATGGTTAATTAAATAAATATTAAATGGAAATTATTGAGATTATTGCAATTATACACAAATCATTCACCTGAATATTTTTCTGTCATTTGTAGTGTTGAAAAAAAATGTTGAAATCACCGAAGGTAAGTATTTTCGTATAGGCATTATTATTCTGAATACATGTGTGTAATGACTATGCATTACATAAGCAACATTTACAAACAAATTTAATTAGATTGTAAAACATATCAAGAAATACACATCATATAATAAATAAAAAAAAATAAGCAGCAAATAAAAAATGTGTTTTATAAAATTTTCCATCTATATTTATAAAACTATTACTCCTATTATTAATTTAGTGAATTTTCACTTTTTTGTTCATCTAAATACTGTATGTTTTACCACTACTAATGTGCATGATTTTAATTTAAGACATTGTATCTTGACTAAAAATCAAAGCAACACAATCTTTGATGATGATGAAATTGAAATGAATAAAACTCAATTTTCAACTGCATATAATCTGTCAGTAAAAAAACATTCCTTGTCAAAAAAAATGTCATTACAACATCCACTAATTCAATCTTATTCCAGTTTTTCTTCTAGTATAATTACAATAAAACTTCGTCCAAAAAAAAATTAAAAAAATAAAAAAATACACAGGGATACAATTCCTTAATCACTTTACAGATAAGAATTTCCATAACAAAAACTCATTTTACCGACAAAATACCGAAAAATTACTCTGCAAGGGTTCCTAAAAGTTCAGAAACGTGATGTGGATGAATGATAGAGGATGACCTTTTCAGCGACAAATGAGACCATTCATCCAAATGGAGACGATACTACGCGAGACGGAACGCCGAAGCAGCCACGAGTATTCACAAATTGGCGGTGCTCTCGCCGCATCGAGACACCAAATTCAAGCAGCTGGGTTCGCATCGTTGCTGCTCCATGTGAGAGATGCACCTGCTGCTTCATCATGTTTTGCAAAAAGTGACGTGGGTTTTACAGCAACGCAGCGGTCAGAATCATGGCGCTACGTTCTGATAACGGCGTTCATACCGCGGTGAAACAGCTCAAATTCAACAAAAACTGTCGTCTGCTTCTGCTTGTTTTTCAGTTTTGGAACCACATTCAGAGATGATAAGAATTCTCGAGAGAAGTGCGAGTAGTAAAATGTTTGTAAGGAGATCCTCGTGGCAATTGGGTTGCTTCTGCTATTGAATTCCTTAATGGTATTCTTCTCTGGTATCTTTGTTGCTTCTCAACGCCATGTGCACTCCAGCTCAGCTTTTTCAGGCACTCGTGCCTCACTCGAGTAATGAAACAGAGACTGAGATCTTCGTGTTTTCGGGCCATTGCTGTTCTTTCGAACTTGGATTATGGCGATTCAATAGATTTAAGGTGCTCCTGGATCTCATGCTCCTAAATGACGCACTAACGTTGTGTAAAGTACTTGCGAGGAAGGATGAGGTTACCTCATTTCTGACGTTAGAACAGAGTTGACGGCGGCGGCTGCAACTACCATGGACTGTCGGGAATATTCTAAGCACACCAAGTGCGCACTCAACTATTGCTTTCTGCCACTGTTTTCCTTTTAAACTTATCTTCGCTGCACCGTCCTCAACAGTCATTGGGCCTATGATTGCTGCAGACTTTCTTGGTTCTTTCTTCGAAGGTTGGGAGTCATGCACGTTTTGGGCCTGGTTCGGGGTGATCCCATCGGGTGTTCAACCGTGCACGATATTGCTTGATCAGCTTCCTACGCTCTGTTTTTAAGCCCTTTGTTCGTGAACAACCAATTACGCGACTTCATTGCTCTTTATTTTGAATTTGCGCCTCAAAACGCCTGAATGTGCTGTTAACAGTTGTAGGCACTTCGCTGGGAAGGATTTGTTCCTTGCTGAAGGCTTGTTACTGTGATTGTTGCAGGTCATCCAGATGGTGCCCCGAATACCTTGGGACAGTGCTGCCGGATTTTGTGTCTATGTTCTTGTGCACTGTTTCATTTAGCAGGTTGACGGACATGTTAGTGATATCCTCTTAGCCCTATCAATATATTCATTGGTCGTGCTATGTTGTAGTGGAAACCCGGTGAAATTTGTGCTATAATTTGATAGAGAAGTGATTTTTTCTCTGAGTGTTCATTGGCAGTCCAATCTGGTCGTCAATTCCCTTCCTTTAGAGGAACAAATCTCTGATTAACTAAGCAAGATTTTTGATCCCATTGAATCAAGAAGACACAGGATTTCTATCACAGTTCATCAACCGAACCTGTCACTCCGACAATCCCAACAATTTGTTGATAATAGCTAATTCTAAACCTTTTGGAGCAAGGTTTGCAATAGAATTAGAGAGCTGATGAACTGCTAGACTTTAGAAATGTGATTATCATCTTAGATTTATTTTGAAGGTACATAAAGCTTGGTGTTTCCGGTTCGAAAGGGTCCCGTATCACCCTTGAACTTGGATAGTTGATGAGCGGCCGAGAACGTTCTCATGTGCACTTGGTACTGTCCAGGAAGTTATTGTGATGATCCAACTGTTGTAATGTCTTTTGAAGCTGCTGTGCAACTTCGCCTAGAATTGTAATTACTGCCAATTTGCAGCTGTCATGAGGTGTTAAAGAAATAGGTCCTTTCTCGACAGGATTTTGATTAAGGATTAGAATCTTCCACAATCATAAAAATGTTCAAAATTGGATTTTCCTCTCGAACCGTGGACCGCTCTACTGTAACGTCGTTAACTTCGAATCAAGGTTGAATTTCTTCACGCGAGTAGATCCTGTCTCAAATAAGATTTCTAGTGCTGTCACCTGTTAGATTGAACATCAAGTACAGAGGTTGGAGTTTGATGTGACATCTACTAGAGCTATGTTTCAGGTAGTTCGAGGATTGCAAGTCCTGCATCATGCAAAGAAATCTCCATGCTTCTGCAGGAGTGTGTACTTTCAGGGGCATGGGTGGATCATCAGCGCTTCGGATGTTAGCTAGGGACATCCACTTAACCTTTTTGAAGTATGCAACAGTTAAGCTTGCCATTGACGACCAAACACCAAAGCCTCGCTCGATTGACCGAGTACGCTGGGAACTGAGGCGAAGTGGTACAGTTCAATGGCAGTATAGAAATTCATAACGTCCGCGTTGGGACAATTTTTTAGTTTTATTTCAGGACTCGCTCATTCAAAATGGCAGTAGCATGGATACCAGACGACAAATTCATAAAGGGATGCATCGCCTTTGTGATATGGTGGCTGTTGGCAGTCTTCCCAGCGTTCCCTCTCTTGCCAGTCGGACGAACTGCAGGCTCTGTAGTGGGCGCAGCTCTAATGGTCTTGCTTGGAGTTATATCCCCAGATGATGCCTTCAACGCAGTGAATATCTCCATTCTTGGCCTCCTGTTTGCCACTATGGTCATAAGTGTTTTCATGGAACGAGCAAAAGCATTTGATTGTTTGACACTGTTGCTCTCATGGAGAACTCAGGGAGGTGTAGACCTTCTCTGTAGGGTGTGTTTGGTGGCTGCTGTCTCAAGTGCCGTGTTCACAAATGACAGCACATGTGTTGTCCTCACTAGTTTTGTACTCAAGCTTTGTAGAAAAAAAAATCTCAACCCCAAGCCGTTTCTCATCGCCCTTGCTTGTAGCGCTAATATCGGTTCTGCTGCTACTCCCATTGGCAACCCGCAGAATCTCGTCATTGCAGTTCAAGGTAAGCTTGGGTTTGGGCAATTCGTTCTTGGGGTGCTCCCTGCAGTAACGGTTGGGTTTGCGCTCAACACGCTCGGGTTACTGCTAATCTATGGGCGTTCTCTATCATTAAAACCATGTGAGGGCTTTGGGGAAAGCATATACAGCACGGATGAGGGCGACCCGGAGACGAGGCTCCTTCGGCCATCTCGAAGCTTAGATATCGAAAGTGGTGATGGGCCTGAAGAATGTACAGCAGGAGAGGATATTTCTGGGGGTTCAGGATTCAAAATCTCTAGGAGAGCGAAGAAGTTCCTGGAAGAGCATCGGAAAGTCATAGGGAAATCTCTTTTCTTTCTGTCCATAGTTTCAGTTTGGATACTCGGCGCAACGCTGCAAGTCTTTGAATCGGGGGTGGGCCTCCCTTGGACTGCAATTACGGCTGCCATGGTGCTGACGGTTGTAGATTTCTCAGATGCCACTGTCACTCTGGATAAGGTACCACACAGCAATACTACGAAATACTTCTATCGCTACAAGGAAAGGCATCAATTTTTTTGCTTGTTGATGTGTTTGCATGAGATCTATGCAAGTAGCAGTGTGAGTAATAAAGGAATTTAATACATCTTTGCAGGTCTCCTATTCTATCCTGGTTTTCTTCTCTGGAATGTTCATAACTGTAGAAGCCTTCAATAGAACTGGAGCTCCCGCACAGTTCTGGTCGGCAGTGGAGCCATACTCTCGAATTGATAGCAAAGGAGGCATGGTCATCCTCTCGATTGTTGTCACTTTTCTCTCGAATGTGGCATCTAACGTTCCAACAGGTGCACTAAACTCGTAAATCTCTGCTACTTGCACTTCATAAACTAAGAACATTACAATGTGAATTACTTGCATCTATTCTGCATCTTATCCAGCAACTTCACATAAGCAGTTATGAACATGCATCGCCCTCGACTAGAGATAAAGGAGACCCATTTCAACTTGATTATCTACACAGAGGGTTCACTGCCACTCCATTTCCATTGTGTCTATCATCATCGTCCATAGCGTAGATGGATGTGAACACATGATCATACGATCTACTCACTGTTTTCTACATTTCCTTGCTCGCTCGCAGTGTTGCTACTGGGCCCTAAAATTGCAGCATCTGCAGTGGCAACCTCTGGGGCAAGGCCTGATGAAGCATGGTTGCTTCTGGCATGGGTGAGCACGGTTGCTGGAAACTTGACGCTGGTAGGTTCGGCAGCTAATATCATTGTTTGTGAGAAAGCAAGATGTGAACCTAGAATTAGCTACAATCTCTCATTTCTTGAACACTTGAAGTATGGGTTTCTCTCAACTTTAGTTATCATTATTGTTGGACTGCCTTGTGTAAATCTATTCTAGGTGTTGCAAAACAGACGATACATCTTGAAACGTCTAGTGATTGATGAATATGCTGAACAAGTTACCCATTTGATTGATGAAAATTGAGATCCAATTCTATCCACGCATTTGTAACATCAGAAGTGAAAATGGGAAAATTAATTTGTTTATCTATTTGTATGGCTCAGATTTAGATATTTTGTGGACATGGTTATGCATGTTAAGTTTTAAATGTTTCTAAAATTATAAGATAAAAGAAGAAAATAAAAATAAAAATGAATATTAGAATATTTATTGTACAATTTTAAGTAAGAAAATTATTAAATCCACCCACCATTTTATTAAATCAATCCATTACATGACAATTGTCATGATTGTCGTACATTTCATTTTTTATAGTTGTGTTTTTTGGTTGTAGACCTTTAAAAATTGCCATTGGCCTTAGTACTCTGTAGAACTAGTAAAAACATCTCTTTCTTGATGCCTTATTTTGTCTTTTTTGCCACCATGAGATCAAGTATTATAAAAGAACTTCTTTCTGTATTTTCCAAAGTCTATCAAGAGATCTTTTTAGTCTAAAGAAAACCTAGATAATTGTAAAGAAAATACAACTTAAGAGTGATAAGTACAAACATTGTGTCTTGTTTTCTTTGCAATTCTTGTAATAGTGCACATTTACAATTGTTGCTTCAATGATTTCAAATTGCCAAGCTTGTGTCATATAAATTGTTTTGCATGGATAAAAATTTGCCTTAATCAATTGACTAAGCCTTAAATACAATCTTTTGAGTGGTTTAGGATTTAGAATTTCAAGCAATTGATTGTTGAATTCTTGAATATTATGGTCGTCAATGCCAACTCCAAAAGTTTTTTGCATATGTTTTACTCTTATTGGGGTGCCAATATTTCATACGTATGACTAATTGCTCCAAAAAAAAAATAGCAAACATGTTTCATAAGATTAATTCAACCATTAGAAGAGAGACATTAACCAAATGATACTAAGAATGAAAATTGTCAATCACTAAAATTTTATTGTTATTTAGTATGCTTCAAATTCAAATACTTACTTAGAATATCTATTTTGGTTGTTAATATGTCAAAGCAAGGAGAATTGTTGGAACTTAGGGACGTTGTAGCACATTAAAATTGTTTGAATATAAGATCTAAAGCATGTATCAACATTCATTTTAGTACCCAAGTTTAATATTATTATTCCTTGAAAATGGCTAAGACATTCTTTTCAATGTGTCTAATACAAAACAATAGAACAAATATATAATAGACTTCTTAAATGGCATTAATTAGTGCAAAATCTTAGTAAATATCAATAGTGAAGGACATGAGGTTTCTGTAGAATTAGACAAGTTGAATTAATACCTAATAAAATAACTAGATCTTAATTTAGACAAAAGCAACGATAATAATAAAAGATATGTTGAAACTTGTTGCTTCCATAACATATAATATGGATATCATAAATTTATTTATTTTGTATGTATAATCCATGACAATATTGTATGAATATCTCTTCACAAGCTGAACCCATTTTTGGTGGGCAAAAATAAAAAAAACTTATCTTACTTGTTGTATTACACTTATATGCATATTGATAGCTAGTATCATGAAGGTTCTCTATAAGAGTGAGAATCAACAAACAATTGTTAAGGTCAATTTCATGTAGATATTGGAGCTTCTTGAAGATAGTATGAGCAGTAATGTGAATTGTAGAGTCTCCATGACTTAATACAATTACTATATTCTTTGGTGCCACCTATACAACAAGCATCTAAACAATCATCTCTTTTTGTGCTTACTTAAAACAACAAAGAATGGAATAGCCAATCAATAATGCTAAAGACTTGTGATTGTCTTGTTATTTTAAATTGATAAATGCCAACATTTATCAACTTGCAAAACTTTCCCATACAACTCAAACAAACATCAAGTCAATTGCATTGTTATGTTATATTATCAGGTCAAGTGTGCAATTGACTAAGTATAGATGCAACCTTTGTAACATTTGAAAATAATAGGAGGTCCTTCAAAATGGCATTTAAAAACTACGTATCCTTAGGTGTGCAAAAAAAATATATGCGCTTTGTTTTGAGTTTTCATATATTTTAAATAATTTCTTTGGTGGTAGGTGCATGGCAAGAAAGTTTTCTATTTCAAAAGTGAGTTCTAATAAGACTTCAAACTTTTATTGCTAAAAATATATTATAAATTATATTGAATTACATTTGATAATGAATAAGTTTTTTATATTGAATTGACCTAATTTTGATCAAAATTAGGAAACCTTGAGTAGGAAGTATGTATGTTGATGTACAAAAAGACCATGTCTTCGTTCTTATTATAATAATACAATCATATTTGATAATGAGTAAGCACTTTGGTGGGATTTGAAAAATATTCATTTTCAGCAATTAAATACATGTAAAGATCATGCTAGTCACGTGATGGGTCAATTTAGCAAAAGAGTTGCCTAATTTAACAAGTATTTTTTATTTTATTTATTGGTTTCAATTTCCTAAATTCTATGAGGTTTTATTTTATTCTTTACATTCTAGGATCCTAGAAAATAAATTTTATTTTGAATTGGAAAGAGCTCTCAAATTCAATAGAATCCCTATAATCTTCTAAACAATTTAGAAGTAATCCACATGAAGTACAACTTTGACACTTGATAGAATTCCTCAAATACCAACAGAAATGGAGATCCACCGTTAGTGCTTAGAAAATACTAACAAAACAAAAAGGCAAAAAAGAGTAGCACAAGATGAAGGAGGGAAAGAGAAAAACCAAAGCAAGAATAGATGTTTACATGGATGAATATGTGAGTAGAAGAATAAAGAGACATACATACGTACATACGAGAAGATAAATACATAAATGGATGGATGGATGGATGGATGAATGAATGGATGACCCCTCCTCCTCCGTCTGTCCTGCCCCGTCTTGGAGGCACGCATACGGGAGGTGGGGGTCAAAATGAAGGAGGAGCACGCGGGGTGTTTGTGGGGCCATTCCATGAATATATGCCTCAATTGTTGTATTTGCCATAGCGCCCACCTGGTCTCTCTTGCTCTCTCACATCATGCCTTGTCCTGCCACACTGACTGACTATCTAATTAATTCAATGAAGCGGCCTCTTTTTCTTTCTCGAGAACTAGGATCTCGTTGTATCTTCGGGTGGGAAGTGCATGATCCCTACACGTTTCTCCCCTTTGATCCATGGCTCTCAATTTTTGCTTTCTTTTGTGTTGTAGGTTGCGCTTGCGGTCTGTTTCTGTGATTTGTTGTTGTTGTTGTGTGGAGATGGTATCGACTTGGTACAAATTTACAGGCACTGGTTGAGCATAAGTGGGAATAGAAGGTGGAGCTGAATGAGAGGACTCTAAATGAGAAACTTCACATTGCGCCTTGCGATTCTTGGATTGGATTTACTATGTAGGACCTAGACCAATGTGATGATCAATTCGCGCTTGATTCATGGGAGATGTAAGACAGATTGGACTGATTCACGATACTTTGAACAATTCTTTTGTTGTTGTTATTGTTGAAACCATGGAATTCTACCTAGCAGTTTGAGGTTGCTGTTGTTGTGTTTTCTTGTCAAAGAGGGGAATGTGTGAATGGCTTCCTCTTACTTAGAAGTAGTGTCTTGCAAAGTGTGTAAAACTTAAAAGTAAATGGTGATTGTGCACTTGGGTTGTCGGTTGTCTCGTAATTGGTAGTGACGGATATATCTATACTGGTGAAGTTGCTGGTCTTGGCGCTATGGTTGTGATTAATTTACATATGTTTTGACTTAGATTAACGTCATGGATCATCTCAAGCAATGTTAATTGTAATTAAGATAGTACTTGGCAACAACCACAAGTGCTTGCTTATGTCAAACGTGGAAAAGTTGTATTCTAAATCTGAAAAGATGGCAGAATTGTGCTGCATTTGTCAGTCACTGTGACTACTAACCTCGGGCGAAATCCTGCGTACAATGATTATCTTGATCGAAGCGGTATATTATCCTAGAAATCTGATAGGTTAGAAGAATGTTCCATCTTTGTAACATTGAGCCGCATCTAATTCTGAGGCTTGCTTGCTTGCTTATTTTTAGGATTGTATGATTGTTCATTTCTGTAAGCTCTGCGGATTGCTGCGTAACAGCTCTCCTTAGTTGAGTAGAGCAATATATTCTCTCCAATTTAAGGTAACATCTATAAAAGCTTTGTTTCCTTGTTAGGGTGGAGGATATGCTTGAGAAGTTTGAATCTGCAATGAAGAATAAGGCACGACAGTCCATGTCAAGTGCAGGTTTTCCCCTTTGTTGTCCCAATATTTGTAAGAGGTGTCTTTGTTTGCAGTTGAAGATGCTTGAGATGCAAACCAACATTAGAACCTTCTATCCCAGGTCAAGAGTATTTTTTGTCAGTAAAATAAGTATGATACAACTGAGAGCAGAATTAAATGAGTGAAACCGTTTCTGGTAGTAGTTCATACGTTTTGAAGCTGGATTCAAATTGCTGCATATGTTTAATAGTGAGGGGGTGCGATGGACGGCAATGGTAGTATCAACGGATGTCCGCTGGGGCAACCAGAAATACACGCCAAGTACAATGCCTTGTTGCAGAGAGACACAAAGAGAAAATTGGCCAAAGCAAACCTCAGGAATCAAGGTTTGGGATATGAGCAAATGTTGCAGCAGATTACCATTAATCTCTCTCAGTCTCAGTCCATTTTAGAAGCATACTTACGAGCTCGGAGTCTTCAACGACTCGTGTTGTGATGTATTGAAAGACACATTAGCAAGGGCTCTTCCTCTGTTCCCATTATGCAACCTACCTTTAGTGTGTCACCTTGAGTACATCAACGCAGAAATGATGCTGTAAGTTGCGAACAAGATTTCTTGCCAAGCAATTCAAGATGATTTTTAATAATCTAAACACCAATCCAAGAAGAAACATCACAACTCTAGACAAGACTCCAACTGCAAGTGACGAGGGAAGTTTGGTTGCCTGTAGTGCAAAGATGATTTGCGTTGCTGAAGAAGTGGAAAGCGGTTAATTACAGGAGCTAATCCGGATGCAACACTGTGATAGAGATTCTTTTGCAGATATCTTGACACCTCAAGAGAGTCCCACTACCTTCAGACTAGATTCATTGTCAAGATCCCCTGGCCCTTCGATGCCACGGAGAATGAGCTCGCCTTCTTGGCATTACACAGATTTTCAAGGCATCAGTCCTAGTTTGTGATTTTTGATATAATTTCGGATGATTTGGGCTTGTTTGTACTGGAAACCATCATGTGTAGTGTGGAAAATTTTGACGAATCTGGATCCAAAATCTTCACCTCTAAAATAAGCTTTTCCAAGCAGAGGGACCGCTGGACAAGCCATGAGTTATTTGGATCCTTGGATATCAAGGGCGAGCTTGACATTATGGGGACCATAGCTGAGGGTAGAAACGTCACATACTCTGAGCATGTTGAGATACCGGATCCAAAGTCTGACAAATTTCACCACTACAGCCTTGAGGATCTCAACTACAGCCTTGGTAAGCAAGATCCCCATGAACCCAATTGCAGTGTCTTCATGTTTAGTCACGAGATCCTGCTCTTTCGAGTTCTTGCTTACAAAAGCTCTGGGTTATATTTTCTGACAATCAAGGTTATCACTTGAATAAACATCTAGTATTGATTTGTTATTGTGGCAGAGAAAATTAATATCCCAAGTTCGGACTCAAATTTAGATTCATATTCACCTTGCCAATTTACATCGGATTCAAAAGGTTGGGTAATAAATCACGATCAACACATCTTGAGAGGCCGAGGGGAGCAGCGTGATGTCAAGACACGTCGCATGAAAGTGACTAGCCCCTCCTCTCTGTTTAGAGATGGACCCTGCTACACTTTTGAAAAGCCCTATCGAGATCAGTCTCCAACAAATATTCACAAAAGGCTCAAAAGAAAATTGGCTCAAACTAGTTTCAACAAAAGGCAAAAACAACATGCTCCGATGCACCCTCAACTTTAAAGAATTCAGCGTAACCATTCGGATTTGTCAACTCACAACCTTCCCAATAATAATAATAAGGTGAGAAATATCTCCTCAAGCAGGGATGGATGCGGCAACCAAAAGACACTTCAAATTGCTAGTTTATTGTCAAAGCTTTGTGCAATTCTCACCCTGAAAGTTGGCAGAGCTGGCCATAGAAAAATGGGTAACGGGGCCACCATGTCTCAAAACAAGGTTGTAACTGTGTTCCAAGATGAAGTCGCGCAGCTGATGCTTGAAGGGGAGATGTTGCCGACGTCGAGGAGTTTTTGGATGGCTACATGCATCTCAAATCTCTGTTCTATCTAGAGGAGGAAGAATTCTTTAGAGCAATGAGCTACGGCTGCTACAAGAAACCATTGGAAGTAAAGATGGTCCCTAAGGTTGCACGTCATTGAAACCCAAGCTTTTACGCACCTTGCAAAGAGACCACAATCAAGATTGTCTATAACTCTTTTGTTTATAATTCTTCTTATTTCATCATTTTTTTTCAGTTTAGGCAGCTTCCTGAAGGTCGTTCAATGGTGTTCAATCTAAGAAAATTCCAATGCTCCATATACACTATTCAAAATACAAGAATTCACGCGACCATGTTTGTAATAATTTGATATGATCTCAAGGTGCAAGATCATCTGAAATTCTTTCTTATTATACACAGCTTGTTCATGTCAAGTACATGGTAATTTATCAATAAAAATTTCTTCAAACAATTTTTTTTCCCATATGAGTTGTTATACGATTTTTATATAATGAGTAATAATTGTTATACACATTTCAAATTGTTGCACAGAAAATTTAGATGTCCACAAACTACAGAGTTGATAGGCAACACCACAAGAAACCTGAAAACTTCAGAATGGGAAATGAATAAAGTTGATCGCGCATTGTGGAACAAAATCCATGGACAGATATCTTTACAGAATCATAGCAACTTTAAATGTGGGCTTATATGCTACCAACTGTCTACTTTGCATCTCTTGAGAGCAAGTTGTTTTGACCAACAGCCCGCGCATTGCTGAGCGGATCTATGGCACCTCCCTGCTCAAACACTGCAGCAGCTCCCATACCAGATCCAATACACATCGACACGATACCGAATCGACAATCCTTGCCACGTTTCTTCATCTCGTGCAAGAGAGTTGCCGTGCATCGTGCACCTGCATCAAAATAGTAGATTGTCAGATATAAGAATTGTGAAGGAAGACCAGCCTAAATCAAGGAGCTTGTAGTTCATGAACGTAACAATTAACCATTAGACATTACTCACCTGTGGCACCAAGAGGATGACCAAGAGCCATAGCACCTCCATTCACATTCACCTTCTCTTCATCTAGTCCCAGCTCTTGAGCACAGTATGTGAACTGTGATGCAAATGCCTGCACACAGAAAACTTATTTGTAAATGCAAATGTTCCTTTGTGATTTGAGACCAAGAGTAAAATAACTGGAAGATGGTTATACTATCAAAGGCAACATATTCGGGTCATGATAAAACAAATGGAGAAGAATACAACCTCGTTGATTTCAAAAAGGTCGATGTCGCTGAGCTCTAGGCCAGCTGCCTTAACAGCAGCGGGAATGGCAACAGCAGGACCGATACCCATAACAGATGGGTCCACACCTACAGCAGCGAAGCTCCTGAAGACACCTAGAACAGGCAAATTCTTCTCCAAAGCAGTCCTGCGTTTCATGAGCAGCACAGCAGCTGCTCCATCACTCACTTGCGAAGAATTTCCTGAACACCCCAATCACGAACACCTTCGTTAGAAGGAACTTTATATTCAAACCCTGTAATTCTGTAAAACTTAGATTGATGCAAAGGAGATGATAAAAATAAATAAAAACGTACATAAGAGCCTAATCTTCACAAAAAATGAGATGAATAAATCAATAATATCCAAGAGGATGAGATCCAAGCATGCCCAATATGTTCTCATGCATCAATTACATCATCATATACACTTGGAGGAACTACCCCGCATGTTGGGTAATAAGCTCCTAGAACACTCTCTCCCAGCAATGATCTTTACATCAAAAGCGAACAGAAGTGATAAAAAAATTATGATGACTAATTGAGCCGCTTGCGCGAATTACCTGCAGTAGTCGTGCCAGACTTCTTAAAAACTGTCTTCAACTTTGACAAATCAGCGAGGGATGTCCCAGGTCGAATACCGTCATCCTCTGAGATGACTACCTTCTTCTCATCTCCAGTTTTAGGATTTACAATCTGTTAAAATAATAGTTCCCATCCATTTTATCATGCATGAGAGCTTGTCTAACTTATTAGACACGGAAAGTTGTCCTAGAATAGGATTTGCAGAAGAGCAGCAGGAATCAAGCGTGGTGAAAAGCCCCCAGAGTCACCCAGCATCCGCTAACAAATGGGAATGCAAGTCACGGAGCTATATCAACAGAGAAAATTGATAGAAATCTATACAAAAACCAGCAACTGAGCACTCTCTGTAAACAGATCAAAAGAGGATAATACTGGGATAAGATGCAACAAGGCACCTTGGTCTGCACAGGAATAATCTCATCCTTGAACCTGCCAGAGGCTCTGGCAGCTGCTGCCTTCGCATGCGATTTGACCTGTCAAAACATAACAATTAACGGAGTCAACTTTAAATGTAGCTCCAAAAATCAGAAGTTGATCCTCTTGAATTGACATTAAAAAAGCGATTGCCAGCACCAACATGAAGTGAATGACATACTGCTGCTTCATCTTGCTGTCTGCGACCAACTCCATAGCGCTCTGCGACGTTCTCGGAAGTGATACCCATGGGTAGTAGACAATCTTGAGCTCTTTGATCAGCCTCCACCCTTGGATTAACGGAGCCTTCCCAAGCCATGGGATTAACAGTCATCGACTCCAATCCACCTCCAATACCAATATCATAGAAACCTGCTTTAATAGCTGCCGCTACATCCGCAACAGCTTGCAGTCCAGATGAGCATTGCCTGTTCACAGTTCTAACGGGCACAGTTTCTGTTGCCGCCACACGGAAGAACTTATCAGAAGCCAAATCTCAATGGAGTTCATAAAGGCATTTCAATAAACAACATAAAATAGACATATTTCCCTAAATTATTAGTCACCTGCGCATTAAACACTCCCATGAAAAAGACAACTATCTTCCTGAGCGGCATTACATATATGGCCATAAGAAACATAGCTATAAGCTCACCTGGGAATCCAGCGAAAAACGCAGCCATACGGCACTCATTAGCACGCTGAGCACCAGGTGCGAGGACACTGCCTATCACAATGTCACCGATCTCGGCAGGACTGACGCCTGTCTTCTCAACGACAGCCTGCACAAAAACCCACCTCAGAACAAAGAAAAAAGTTCTCCAAATCCTTCACAGCCCCCCCAAAAAGGACAGATACGAAGAGAACTACGCTGCACGTGAGAAATGATAATGCAACGGATCTCACTCTAAGGACTGGCGCCAACAGGTCATCGGGATAAGTATCCTTGAATCCTCCCCTCTTCGCCCTGCAAATCGCCGTGCGATACGCACTGCAACGCAATAACACAAATTAGCGCAATATTCTCGTTCACTTCAATCAGAGACCGCAGAATACACTCTCTATCAACGCTGCCTGGCCGCATGATGATTTCAACTGCTTGATACACTCAATTTTTCACATGACTCATATGTTAGAATTACTTAAGCGAAAATACACTAACGTGTACACTGAATTCTAATACAAGCTTAGATGTAAGCAATACTCACGCCACAATAACGACATCGTCTAGGAAGTCGGTGGTACGTGCGTAAGGTGCACTGTCGTTGGCGGAGCAGATCGACGACTGCAAGAGAAACAATGCATACCGAGAGAATCGGTGGGGTAAGGCACATGCAGAGCTACCACTTCTGCTCGCAACCAAATCCAAAAAGAGGGACAAAACCTAATGAGAAGAAATTAATCAGCAAAAATTTCGATTTCAGTATGTGAAGGTTCAATTAGATTGCAGCCTCAACACCACAAGGTCCCAGATATAAAGCAAAACACGAGACGCTTCAGAATGACAATAATTCCAATCTCATCTCAAACAGAGCGGTCGTGGTTCAAAAGCACGGCGGACAATCAAATCAACCGAAGCTAAACGGAATCAAGACTGAATTAGAAACACACCAATAAGTGCAATGGAAATCGAAGACACGTTAACAAAGCAATCTGCCTGAGGGTACCCCAACCCACCCTCGAACCAAACCAAGCGCACGACTTCTAAATGAAATCCAAGACTCAACCCAGCAAACAATAGAGTTACCCTCGATCGGAGACAGTCGCACACATCCCTCGCCCAAACTCTTTCCAAAAGATCAGCAAACTTACCACAACATTAGCAACCGCCCTTCGCCCAGTCTCGGGCTTCAAGTGGTCAAGCAACACCTGCTGGCGCATCGTGGACTTCTCCATGACTGCAACGCCGCTGTAATCCTTCCCCACAAAAACAATCTCCCTCGTCTTACAAACTCGCTACCCGATAATTACTTCCGATCTGCAACAGCACCTGGCAAAGTCCGCAGAGAATATGCGCAAGTCCGCAGCGAGACGATTGCTTTGTAGTTGAAAGGCAGAAACGAGCAACGTTTGCATGGTTGCTTACGATGCGGGCCAACGACGGTGGCCAGGATTGCCAAAACGTCACCGGCTAATTCCTCGCCAATAACTCCAAGGAACCCACCTCACTTTCCTCCCCTTAAGTTTAGATAAATATATCTGTACGCGATTATTCATCTAAAAGTGCCCCAAAACATAATCCAACCGAAACCAACTCTGCCTTGTGTGTTGACTAATCTCAGAAATCACTGCCCCACCCCAGGATCCGTAAGGTAGTAACGTTGCTTCCGGAACAAGATTACACATCGATTCGTGGATAGAGCAACTCTCGAATGTTGTCCTACGCCGCCAACACTCCCTGATCATGGATTTTACTTCGATATGTATACATCATTTCCACGTAGGTTAAGCATTATCCACAGCATCACGAGTGCAGTTCCGCTCGGTTGGCTCTTTCATTATACCTTGTGGAGTGCATTGACTGAGCTTGAAGGTATGCAGCGAAATTGAAAATACTCAAACGAAGAGAGAGACACACATACACGTATATCTCTTGGATTTATATATATATATATATATGTATATTATAGATATTGAAGGGTAAAGGGGGGGGTTTGAGATGTGTTAGAAAATAGCGTGTTCGGAAAAGTTAGAGAGGTCCCCACCCACATGGGGCACCGTTTTGGTGGTGAACTCTAGCCGCTATTCCCGCTATTCTTGGGACCACCCCCGTCTTCCCCTCCCCTCCCCCAACCTCTCCTCGGCTATCACGCCGACCAGCGGTCGCCCGCTTGCTGACTGTGGAACCCGTTGACGTATGCGTGGTCCACGATGGCTTCATTCTTCATTCATCCGTATATCCATGGAGTAATTCGTCCATTTCTAGCTTTGTGTTCCAATGTTGGTTGATCTTCTTCGTACATACATATACAGATAGATAGATTTGCTTCAGAGTTTTCAGGTGAAGGATGTCACTGAATGTGATGGTATGGCTTACTTGAGAGCACGAAAACAGGGCTTTCGAATCAGCCCCAACATGAAAAAATATATATATATTTATTTATACAATATGCTTATCCTTGTTGAAAATTTTATATTTTTGAAATAGAGATAATAGAAAAAGAAAAAAGAGAGAATGTATTTTTCATACTTCTCTTGCTGATCTTGTAAAATCCTGAATGATGTGATCAAATATTTAAGAAAATAGAATAAAAATCATATTCAAAGTATATCATTGAAAAAAAATTTAAAGATGTAATATGAAAAATAAAATCAAAAACACTAAAATTATGTAAGATACTGAGATGACTAAAATAAGATACACTAATGGCTATAATCCGAATGACAAACAAATTTCTGAAACGAAATTTAAAAAATTAAGAATAGCCATTGCCATGTTTTTCTAAAAAATTCAAACTATGTTTGAAAAGGCTAAATTTTAATACTTAAGAATTTTAAAGAAATTTCTAGAATGATGTTTTTTTAAATATTAAATGCGTGAAATATTAATTTCTTTTTATGATTTTTAAAAAGAATAAGAAAAGTCTAGACAATTGTGCAAGAATTTAAAATAATTTAGATAGAGAAGAAAGTTATGTTAAAACCTAAGAATTAATAAATACAACAAGTATATATTTTATTTATTTATCTCATTTTAAAAACAGAAATATTCAAAAATGAAAAAAACCAATTCATTCATAATTTCTTATATACAATGTGCAAGTTATTTGAGATAAATCATACTTTAAAAATTTTATGTTTAATTTATTTAATGAATATAAAAAATACTAGATCAAGGAAATATATGAATATGTATATATATATATATATATATATATATATGTCTATTTTACTTGATTTGGAAGCTCTATTTTTGATGGATTTTATAATATCATTAATAATAAAAAAGTTATATGTATAAAATATAAAATATTTCAATTAAATTTTTTTAAATATATACTTTTTGAATTATTATATTTCAAAATTAAAATAATATGTACCATTATCAAATAATTTTTAAATTTCTATTATTTTAATAATACCTAAAACAACCATAATAAATAAAGATATATACAAAACATAATTATATTATTATCTTGTATATAATTAATTAGAATAAGATCATAATTAAATTAAAATCCATTGAAGCCATCAACTTTAATTACTTTAGAAGAGAAAAAATTTTAATATAAAAAATAACTATTAAAGTAGAAAAAATAAATAAATAAATAAATAAATAAACAATAATCATGTTATTGTATCAAGGACATGAATTTCAAAGGATTAAAAGATCAATTCACTCTTGTATCACTTGAAAAGACTAGAAAATCATTCAAAGATCTTATAATATTAAACTATAATGGCTATAGCCAGAGACAAGAAGATTATAAAGTCTTGAAATAAGATTAAGAACTACATAGGCATTTACAAGAGTAAAAAAGGTTTTATTCTTGCATCTATATATACTATCTTATTAAGAGCTACGTGACAACATTCTAAAGGATTTTTGATATGTATTCAACTTGCAAGGCATGTGACTCAACTTCCAAGGCAAGTTTTCTATATATGTACTATACAGTGATCTTATACCATAAGATATCAATACAAGCAATATGTGGTTAATTTTTTGGCCAATATTATAACCTATTAATTAACTAAAAATACATATAAATTCAAAGCCATGTCTATAAAGCTTCTACAAAGCATCTTTAAAAGATATTATCAAATTTATCTATTTAAATCTACTTCTACTTATTCATATTATCAAAATAATTATTGAAATAAATGTATATGTCTATAACAAATTGCCATTGATGTAAAAAAAGAATATTTCAATGATATATTTATTTATGTTATTCTTATAGGCTTAGTAATTTGTTATTTAATAATTCAATATTTTTGATTGAAATAGATGTAAATATTATTAAATCAAAAATAAAATTGATTTATACTATTTGAACTTAAAAATTGGTTATATACTTATTATAAAAACATATTTTGAAATAAGATTAGACTATCTCAAAAATCTAAGTTCCTTCTAATCCACAAAAACAAAAATTCTACCACAATGTAGGACAAATCAGACTACAATAAAAAAAAATGGAACAAAATTGAACAGAAAGATGCGAAACCAAACTTTACTAAGAAAAAGGATTTATAGCCATACTTGACCAAATATCCCAATGACCCTAACCAGTCCTATTTATACTTTGTCCAACTATCCTAGAACTTTTTAGAATATTTTTAATGATAGACTCCACCTAGATAACAGTCCTAAGTTCTTTTTAGAATTTTCTATGGTAGATCCTACCTAGATAACTGCCCTTAGTTCTTTTAAAAAGTTCTATGGTAGGTCCTACATAATCTATTAATCTAGCCTTAATTCAAGAAACTTCTATAAACTTCTCAAACATAATTCCAATTATATATTCATATATGCCAATAATACAAATATCTTATCTTTATCCCATTACAATTAATCCTCCTTTACTAATGTGGAACATCCTCATTTTTCTTTCGATTGTATCTCCAAATTATTTTTTGGCAATAGATGAGATTTTTTGCATATTTTTATGTTGCATCGTCGATAGAATAATCTTTTTAGATGACTTTGTACTAAAGTTGTGGACGTCTATTACTATAGCAAAGGTAGCAATACTCCAAAATATTGTCAAATTCATACTCTTGTTGGTCATCATCTATAACTAATAGTAGTGGTAATTGGTGTTGGTCCAAAAAATGCCTTAGTTCTATATGAAATTTGTTAAGTTACAAAATATGAAAGATTGGATGGACATGAATATATGGTGGAAGCTCGAGGTAGTATACAATAATAAAAATTATTGCAAAAGTATGAAAAGACCCAAATCAATAAGGTGCCAATTTATGGATTTTAGTTGATGTTTCAAGTGACAAGTTGGTGTTGGAGAGTAATACTTGATCACCTTTTTGGAAGCTCTTGTATTGCCAATGATTATCTGCATACTACTTTTATCAATTTTGTGTGATATGGAGATGGTTTTATGCCTCTTATAAGGCCATTGTAAGTCGTTGTACAAACTCCTCCATTGTTGAGTTATTAGTGGCAATGGGACAATAGAGAGTTGCTAGCATAATTGGATACTAACTAGTCTTAAGGTAAAATAGACAACATCACTAAGATTATAAGAATATGAATTTGACAATACTATATATCACCTACCTTCAACCAATTGTTAATTATCTTAAAATAAATATGTCGTTGTATAGCTTTCTTCTATTTTATCTCCTTCATTAGGTTTGAAATGATACTACTAATGGTAGCAACCTCTATCTTGTTCCTCGATTTTACCTTGAAGTGTGGTCTTCGGAGTAAGCTATTTAGCACAATATATTGTTGTCCTTGCTTGTACTTAAGCTGAATGTCAAAAAATTGCAATTGTTCTTCTTATTGATGATGTTGTGATTTCATATTTTTTAGATGTAAATTATGTAGCAAAGATTGATGGTTAATTCAAACAATTACTAGCTTTTCCAACAAATAATATTTCCACATCTTTGTAGTATGTACAATTACAAATTGCTCTTGATTACATATAGAGTAATTGCGCTCTCCCTTTTGAGCTTGCGTGATCCATACACCATGGATTAAAGATCCATACAAAAGTCTTGTTGAAGAACCATTCCAATGGCAAAGTTGAAAGCATCAATGTCAAGTGTACATGGAAGGTTGGAATCATATAATTACAATATTAGAGCAATAATGAGAGTCTCTTTCAACTTATCAAAGGCAATTTGTTGGTCTAGTTTCTATTCAAACGAGGCATCTTTCTCCAATAGGCTTGTTAATGATGCAGTAATATGTGTAAATTATTGAATAAAATGGTGATAATATTTAGCAAGGTCTAAAAAAGAGTGGACTTCAAAAGCATCTTTGAAGGTTAGCCAATCTTCCACTGCTTTCAGCTTATCTTACTCCATGTGCACACCTTTAGAGGGTACTATATGCCCTAAAATAGTAGCCTTTGACTTCTAAAGTTCACACTTTGATTGCTTGCAATAAAAACTACTATCTTGCAGTTGGCACAATACTTCTCATATATATTGTTCATGCTCCTCAAGGATTTTATTATACACTAGGATATCATTGCTGAAGACAACTACATACTTGTCTAAAAGATCTCAAAACAATCTATTCATGTGACCCATAAAGGTGGTTGGAATATTAGTGAGGCCAAAAGATAAAATAAGCCATTCAAAAATGTCTATAGTGCATACAAAATGCCATCTTTTTTATATTCTTTCTTGTGATAGGTATTTGCTAATAGCCACTCTAAAGGTCCACTTTACTAAAGATGGTCGTATTTCAAAGTTGATAAAGAAGATTGTCCATG